TTTGTACTGGCTCAGAATCTCACTTATAGCGAGGACTAGAGCTCCCCTCTAGTAGAGGGGAGATATTTCCTAGCATAATATCTCAACGCGAAGTACAACTAGTTGGACTACTTTATTTATTGTAATAGACCATTCTTAATATTATACAGCTATTTTTAGAACATGAACCAGAACGAGGCATAACTGGCAAGCTGATAAGCCAGTATAGCTGTGTATACAATGAAATCCACTTATCTTTGGTTCCTAAAATTAATTTCTCATTTGTAGAGTTATATATTTATCAAGACAAAGTTAATCCCTCTATAAATAATTCAATTATATTTATGAGGTATCCATTTATGGTTAAAGAGGTGAGTAAGAGAAGAGATTTTTTTTTACTTTCGGTTTCAATTTTGCTGCCAGAAAGATATTTCCTAACATAATATAAGGTTTATAGATATAAATCTGTAGTGTCTTGTATTATATAATCTTTGTTGTTCTGTTATTTATGGATTCTTGATGCCAACATAAAGGTAATTGCAAATTGAATCTTACAGATAAGCCCCTAATGACCTGTGGTAAATCTTTATCAGATGTGTATTGGGTGGATTATATCAAACATTTATTGACTCAGTTATATAGACCGTTTACTATAGTTTTTGCCTAGCCAAATTCTATGTATACATGTAATTTATGAATTTTAATTTGTACTTCCAATACTACCATTGCGCAATAATAATTAAGGGAAATGCCATAGATTACAGAGAAAGAATGAATTTTCTTATTTATTTCAAAATTTTAATAAAGACTAAACTTTGATACTTCCTAATATTATATTGTTTTTATTATCCTTTTTTTATTGAATACCAATTTATATATACATATAAAAATCATCACATCATCACCAGTTTCAAAAAGTTCAATTAGATCTCAACATCTGACATGCATCCATGTAACAATGACACAAATGCGAACGTGTGCATGTTCCTTTGTAATTTCAATACAAACTCAGCTGAGTTGCAGGGTCTTTACATCTTTTTGGTCTCCTCCAGTTCAAGCCTTATGAAGCATTTAAATATATTTTTCTTCCTGTGTTTCTGTAGACCCATAAGATGTAGATGGTTGGCAATTGATACTTGTTGCATTAACTTCTTCATCTTCATTATAAACAATGCTGAAAGATATATATTATAACAAAACATATTATTTATTCAATATCAGTGAGAATTTAAATGATTTTTTTTCTATATTAAAAGCAAATACATTTATTAAACATAAATAAGCATTATATTATATGTATTAAAATGAAATGATGAAGATGTGTGTTAAATCAGTGACTTTATCATAAAAATTACCTATCAATGAGCATTTTCTTTGGTGAAAGAATTTTTCATATAAGTGGCCTTCTTAATTGGAGTTGTTTGTTCAACCCAATTAATCACTGGTGGAATAGAACCATTTTTAAGTGGAGTCCAGTTGTAATCCTCAGTTTAAAATGTTTGGAACACACCACAGTAGATTCAGTGACCCAAAATATACAACATATATTTATAATAAGGAATGACATGATAACTATTTAGTCAGCTTCAATCCTCTATTTGTAACATAAATTTGAACTGATAATAATTTACAATTTACAAGTTTAAATTGTTATAACTGTTAGATTAAAAGCAAGCAGTCCCATTATTTTATTCTAAATATACAAAATCTGTATTTTTACAAAAATATTATTCTGTTCATAAAGTGGTCAAAGTTTACAAAATATTAATTTTAGGTGCTTACCTTTTACAATGACCCTTTATCCCTTCTTATCTTAGAAAGTTAGTCATCCATAATTTGTTGTGTGTTTTTTTAATCTTTATCCTTTAGAATATGGTAAATTATATTTACCATCAGAATAGCACATTGGCACACAAAAATGATATTAAGAACTTTTCTTTATTAACACCCAACATCGTGGCTATATAGTGAGATAAGAGTGGACAGTGTGTTTACATTCGTGCCATTTAAACCTCGTTCTGGTTCTGGAATTCCAGGTATGCATATAATTTGAGAAGGGTCTAATGGCGAAGTACAACTAGTTGGATTGCCAAGCAAATGATATAATAAGTAATTGGCTTACACCGCAGAGTTCCACCATTGCAAAGTTAACTATATACTGAAGTTACTAAACTTTATTAAAACATAAAAACACTTATTAAAATTCTTGCAATTTCTCATTTTTAAGACAATTTAATTATATCTCCTTCATTTTCTTTTCTTTCAGTTGTAAATCAGTTACTGTTAAAACATTAAATACATGATAATTGTTATCCGAAGATCAAATTGTTTTAAAATGCTCTTTTTTCAATTTGGAGAAACTCTGATGTTTTAATAAACTTCTCATAAAACTCGCTTATCCCACTATCAGTAATATCTTCTTCGTTTACATGGGCCTGCAACAGCTTGTTTGCATCTGATAAGAATTGTGCGATTACAAAGAAATTCGTGAACCAAAACCACTTCAAACACCCCTATTTTCTTTTATTATTCACTTGAACATACACTACTCATGCAATATTTAAACACATCATTGTACCTACACTTTATTTATCGAATACAGTCGAAATGAAATGGTTACAATTAAAAAGATTAGTTCGTATCACACGTAAATCAAATGCACGTTATCTTCCAACTTTGACCAGGTACAAAAATAATGATGTAATTAATTCATTGTTGCAGGGTAAAAAAGGCCCAAGACATATAAAACTACATGTATAATAGCTCCCTTTTGAGAAGTTATTTGAATCTTTTAAACTTCAAACTTGCTTGTGCACTCATTGTTTTTTATTTATTTATTTATTTATTTATTTATTTATTTATTTATTTATTTTTATTCATTTATTTATTGCGTAGTGGGTTCATTTTAAAATAAAATGGCTTAGGTTACTGTGAATTGGTCTATAATGGAAGATCTATAATACCATAACTACTTATGTTGATAGAATCCAGGATCATACCCCTGACAATTAAACTACGATGCATTGGATGTGGCTCGGGTGATATAAAATCTTAACAGGTAATATATCCACATATATCACTCCAAAACCAAAATAACATATAATATAAATGTATAGCAAATGATAAATTGTTCTATTACAAAAAATATTATTCATGCTCATATAAATATGTAGACTAAATCAGTTACAACTTTATTAACATTTTTGTTTCAAAAATATTTTTATAAGAATATCCAGTTGTTGTGTTTTTATTGTTTTTACTAAAATTTTAGATACTTATGGAAAGTATTACCGTGGTAGACCAATCTACTTTGTAAGAGTTTGGACTCCTAGTAAATCAAGATAACACCGCATAGCATTTCATCATTAGTTTCAATAAAAGAAAATTGATTATGAGAAATTTTGTATTACGTGTAGATCCATATTTTATGTATATTGTATTGTATATTGCTGTACTCGTGTAGTAATGATATAATTGAAACATTTTGTTTTTATTTGACAAAGTCTTTCTGTTTAGCTTATAGTTAAACGGACGTTGCGTCATTAACATCATTTTTTCCTGAAGAAAACAAAATGTCGAAAACTTAGAAAAGCGTTTATATGATTTAATTTCAATAATTTTCTTTGGTTTAATGCTCGATAACATACCCGTGGTCAGTAATTAAGCAAGGGCAAGAAGCACGCATTTATTTGACAAACTTCCTGCTTGACTTCTTTTGAATTTGTTTTTATATCCCGTCTGTGTTTTTGTGCTGCTGTTAGAACAGGACAGAAAAGAACATTTCTTTTATTTCTTAGACACAGATTACAAAACATACATTTTATAATAACTGGTGAACACATAACCGTTTAATTTATAAACAGCTGTCAAATGACAAATAAGAAATCTGAGGCAACAATATTCACCTTGAATTGGTTGCCGCATCAAAATTGGCTATGCGTGGATAAACTTACACTGGATGCCCATGTTAACAGGACATCTAAGAAAGCAAACCGAACATCGGGATGCCTATATAGAAACATGACAGGCAAATCATAATCCATAAACTACATAGTTTATAGACATTAGGCAGACTACAGCTTGAATATAGTTCAGAAATTGGTGTCTTACACCAAAACACAGATATATCAAATGGAAAATGTTCAAAGAAGGGCAGTCCGTTGGGTGAAGCTAGATTATGGTCAGACCTCTAGCGTTACATAAATGCCCCACCACCTCAATCTCAGCAGACTTGAACTCAGACGCATAGATGCTAAGTTATTCTTTTTCTTCAAGATTAACCACGGTGTGGTTGTTTGTCTCATCTATTGAAGAATTTTTGATTCCCACTCCCTAACATTACGTGATTGCAGTTAACTGACTTACGCAGGTTACAGCAACACAGACTATTGAAAACGTTCGTTCTCTTCTAGAGACTAAACATGTCCAGCCTTCCTCCACCCATCCCCTGATTTTAACATTTCAATCTTTTATCAACTTTTAAACAACCCTTTTTAACCATAACTGACTTTGACCAGCAATATGTCTACGACCCCGCAAGGGGTTTGGCATTATTGGATGATTGACAGATTCTCAGTGTGAATTAATACAATACTTGTCAGAATATTGGAACCGCGAAGAATTCACCAAATGCAAGAGACCAACAACCACAGTCTTCGCAGACTGTACAAAGTGCTTTTGCTCTTTACTGCTACAATACGACATAAACAACGCTCAGGTGACAATAAAATCTAAATTTCACTCTTGGTTGTTTTTCAAACTATTTCAATCACTGATTTACACTAGGACATTTATAATATCCCAACTTATTGAGATAGTGTACAGTATTGTAGAGTTAGACTTTAAACATCAGCATTGATCAAAGACATGTTGATGTAACACGGACTGGTTTTTAAGCACCTTTTACCTTACATTCCTCTCCTAAACAGGTAGTTCTAGTTATGTATTGAAACAGTTGTCGCCACCGTGGGTTTAGTATATTTTTTACCTTTCCTGTAGTTTTTCGAAGTTCGGCTCATTTTCGTGACATCGTGATTATCTCCCTTGCTTTAAAAAAGTAAACAACGTGCAGAAATAAATATGGTCAGAAAACTCAAATTTCACGAGAAAAAGCTTTTAAAGAAAGTTGATTTTATATCATGGAATGTCGACAACAATCTACACGAGTTGAAAATCATGAAAAAATACGGCGTCCAACGCAGAGAAGATTACACGAAGTAAATATACAATTTTCATCATATGTTTTCGCGATAGTGTTTTGTTGAATCTAACAAATATGAAACTGTTTATAATTTATTCTGATAACTATTGCAAATATAGGTGTCACAGGATGAGAAAAATGTGCAGCCTGACGGAGACTCGAACCCGGGACCCTCGGAATACCGTACCACGGCTCTTCTGACTGAGTTATCCAGCCGCTTACACATCATCTCCACTAAATAACTTATAGATGAAATAGTGAACAGTTCTGAACCCTGACATACTCCCCTACTTTATTCAAATTTGTCCTTGAATTTCACAGAGTTACAGAGCAATGTGATTAAACTTGGAGCTATATTCAGTCACGGTCCAAATTGGGCGCCAAATGTCACAGGATGAGAAAAATGTGCAGCCTGACCGGGACACGAACCAGGGACCCTCAAATGCTCCATTGCAGCTCTACCGACTCAGCTATCCAGCCCCTAACACATCATTTCCCTTAAATAGTGAACAGTTCTGATGACATAGGTATTAATTCAGAATTTTCGTGCCCCCACTGGAGGCATTTAGGTTTAGCCTTGTCCGTCCATTCGTTCACTTTTGTGTTGCACGTAGCTCAAAAAGTAATTGATCTAGAGTCATGAAACTTTAAAGGAATTTTTGTCAGCATGTGTAGTTTGCACCTGGGTGTTTACATGTGGATTTATTCAGTATTTCTATTTAGAGTAATTGCCTAATACATGCTGCCTGTTTATTAGAAAAAATGTGTTCAGAAATATAAACACAAATGTAATGTGATATTGAGTGAGTGAAGGTTTAATACTTGAATTTATTGAATCAGTTGGATAAAATAATCAAAGAGTTTAATAAATTTAGTATTGAATCTACATGAACATAATATTTTTTTAATCATATATCCGAAATAAGAATGGTTTACTATTAAGAAGAGTCATTTTTGTTTTGCCTGCTTCAAAGTAGCGGCAACATTTAGGGATCCATTCTCCTGTCTGAGGAACAATAGGCAACTGTACTTTCTCTTTGATATCATTCAATCCGTAAGGCTTTTATGTGGCTATTTTCCTTTCAATATGTGGCTAAAAAGAACTATCTACAGTACTGGACACGCGAAACCCGCACAATTCGCGTATTCGCGGTGAACTCTCATGCTTTATAACGCGAGCGAATTCGCGGCAACTTGAGACAATTGCCGTGAATTCAACTCGCGGCGATTTTGCCGTGAACATTTGCCGTGATTCGCGGGGAATAATACATGATTGTTCATTTGTATAATAAATGTAGATCTACTTATAATTGTACTCTGTGAACTTGAAACCAGATATACATGTACAAGTACGAAAATTAATTAGTAGATCTACATGAAGTTGTATCAAGAAAATCTTGTAATTTGCTAAAATGCCCTTTCTCTATTTATCTTTGATGCCAACAGCAAATATAAATAACCACGGCAAAATCAAATAACACCGTTAAAAACTTTCCGTGAATGGCGGAATCATGACCTCAATGTATAAATGCGACGCAGTACAAGTATGTGGCTCCATCGGCAGGTAAATAGTGTACATGTACACGTGTAAAACTATTCTTTAGGGGGGATACATATTGAGTTTATAGTAGAGATATAAACATAATATATGTGTAAAAAGATATTTAGTTACATAAAAAGATACATAATTGATACGACATTAACTTGTTCATTTCTAAATGTATCCCCATATTGAAAACGTTACATAAGACATAAATTCAAGCATGGTCAAATTACCGATGTGATAAACTGATCCTGCGTAAATATTCCCGTACGACCTGGAAGAGTTATAGTGGATCACCGGGACATTTCGTTCTCTCGGGTGATCATTACTCAATTTATTACACGTCTGTAAAAAATAACACATGCAAGATTTGTCTCCTATAATTTCTGAATGGCGGATATTTGCACCCCTGTTTTAAAAATGTTAAAATATTTAATTGTTAGTTACCGAAAATTATCGCAGATTGTTGAAATTCCATAGCGCTAAAAGACACAAAAACACTCTCGCAAAAAGAAGCATCCATAAATATAAGGAATATAATGTTTCCATTGTTAAATAATAAATACAAAATTTACACACGAAATGACCTCTGACAAATGATTGGTCGGCTCTTCTGAAGAATCTGTGAATCTTTGATGTTTACACACCTGTAGTTGTTGCTGAATCATCAAAGAAATGCCGACACTCGATTGACTTCCACCTCTTTTTTATATATCAGAAAAAAACTGTCATTTCTTTTTGTCAAGGAATGATTACACATGTTTAATTATTGCTCAAGTAAAAAAAAATGTTGGATATTGATTGTGTCAATTATTGACATATTATTAATCGTAAGTGCATTTTGATTGTGATATTTTATTTACATTTTTATGATCTTGAAGATATTGTGCAATACGTGTGTCTGCTATCAAAACAATAATGCATATGAAAGGACCACAGCTTCCAAAAATTTATTTTTCCGGTCAATTTTATGACAGAATCCCCGCTGCTACCAGAAATGTTTTATTGCATGGGCTTAGTATTTAATCTGTGTCGTCAGTCATAAACAAACGAACATGTACCCCAAAGCACATTAAAATTACCACATGGTAAACTAGTGACCTTTACAAATATTCATTAATTGAACAAAAAAAATTTTAATCCCGTTTCCACACCTTAATTTGATACGTGCTATTATTAGTTGATTCAACTTAATTGCCGCGCGCATGCAGTACTGCGTGACGTAAGGAAAATATCCTTCCCTGGTTGGTCGCTATTTATGTAAATACTTTAAATAGTAACACCCTAATTTTACCTCATGAATGGTCACTCTTTACTTTACATATTAAATGTGTGATTTAACTCCGATTTTATTTTTGTTTTCGAGGGAATTTTTTGGGTCGAATGCCCTGGCTGATTTGGCGGAAATAAAAAAATCTGATTTGCATCTTGCTACTCATCACCTACTCATGCACCTGGCATTTTTTACTCGTGAAATTGAAGGTAAAAAATGTCTCAATTTAAGTGATAAACTTTTACAATTTTCAACAATCATAATTAGCGTATTAGACGTTATAATAATTATTAGTTACACCTGTGAATCGGTGCTAAATGTCGCTTTGCATTGTTCTAAAAATAGAATATGTGCGAAAGTAAACAATGGATTTTAATTACATTTTGTATTATTATCAAAATAACAATTGGACAATTTGTTATCGTGCGTTCTTTGATGTAGTAACAATTACCTTTTGTAATTTCAATCTCGTTTTATTGTTAACTAATTTTCACCAGCACCTGATTGCTTTGTTTTAGTATACAAAATGTATACGCTGTACATGTTCAAATGCTAAATATTTATAAATATACATGACATTTACAAGATTTTTTTAAAGTTTTCAAAATTAAAGACCACGGGAATGACCAAGTAGTACTTTCTAATACAATTATTGCTGAAGATTCGCCGTAAATTACGGCGATACATCGCGGCGATTTTTCGTGAACTGCCATGAAGTTCGGCGAACTTGCACGCGGCGATGTTTTACCGGGTAGTGTCCCGTCGCGACATAGACTACACTCGCGGCATAACGCGACTTTTGCGGGTTTCGCGTGTCCAGTACTGTATATAGAGGGTACAATAGAGTAGCCCGTAAGTAGTGTCTCGTTAGAAAGTTTGTCTGTCTATCCCAAAACTTCTTGTCTACTTCTTTAAAACCACTTGTGCAATTTCATCCAAACTTTACAGGAATCATAAGCTGGAGAATCCAGAGCTTTTACTAATGCATGAACCTATCAACAGACAAACCATGAAAGTCTGTCGGACCGAAACGAAATCTGTCAGACCGAATAATATTAATCAAAATCAAAGGTAAACTTGTGTTTGTATTTCTAAGACACTTTTCAGTTTTAATTTTTTCGCCGTAAAAATCGGCACAGTCTGTATAGGGCATTTTCATCTCCTCCCTGTCATACACCAACAATTCATGGACGATGGTCCTGCTTCCATTTTTCATTAAATTTTGTCTCAGGTCTATTCTTTTCCTACTTTTATTGCTGTTCTGCGCGCTCCTCTGACATAGATTTTTGTTTTTCCCAGGTTTGGCACCTTTATCGATGCCATTTTGTATACATGCAGCTTGGATAAAAGTCGGACAATCAGACTGATCTGGAATATAACATCGTCGGACCTAATCAAAATTTTATCGGACATGTCAGTCGGACCGACGTATTTCGGGAAGTCTGTATCAAGTGTCTTTATGAAATAGCAGTCTTACTTCAAAAATTTTAGGACCTTAAATGTGTAATTTAGTCCTTTAAAAAGTCCTTAAATATAGAACAAAAGATTTCTGTATGAACATTGTGAGCATATTGAATTGATCCTTTATAGTGAATTGTGATGGATTCAATAGCAAATATGGTTAAAAATGCTAAAAAGGAAAATACGTAGGTGAGGTAGTTGAAGTCTTGCTTTAGATATAAGTTTTGTGTCCAACTTTATTAATTTTGTCATTCAATGAAAACGCTGCATTTCTTAAAAATTATGTGTGTTAATTTTCATAGAAGAACAAAAGTCAATACTATACTTAACGATACTTATAAGTACTCCTACCAATTTTTTATTATATTGTGTTAGAATTACTATAAGTAGTCTAAGTCGATACTGTTTAAACTTTAATCATAGTATCATCATTTTATAATAGTAAATGCATTTTACAATAACTCAAACTTAACAGAAAATCAGTAACTGAGATCACCATTGTAAAAAAATCAAATACCTTCAAGTTTAGTCAATTGCGTGTTTAAAATTTATACCTCTGCCCTGTAATAGCCCGATGGCAATACCTCTTTGTTGCAGCGACATTCGGGTCATTTTGTGTTTTAATGTTAGGCACATCAATAAACTAACAATTTGCATCAAAATACACAATGTGGGCATCTTGAACGAAATGCACGTGTCCATTTTCGGGGTTTTGCATGTGACCGCCATATTGCGTTTCGGATGATTGATTCTGTTTTAAAATCATTCATGCAGTTGGAAAGTAGAGTCAGTACACATTTTCAACATTGATTTGGTATATATTTGGAAAACCGGAGTTTTCCTGCAAGTTTGAAATCGGAGTACTTATAAGTTTCGTTAAGTGTATATCTGACACATTCCGTTCGTAGTCACCTTCTATTTTTAAATAATAGTGCTTCATAGAACCACATTCGTTAATATAGTTCTGACATAATAAGGTGAATATTAATGAAGCCAAATAAAGATTATGTCAAATATACGCGTGCTTCTATTTCTTGACTGAAGTTGAGTATGTTAGTATTCATCCTTAGCTGTTCTACATAAATTAAAAACATTTCCTGTTGCTATTGCTCCGGTTGAATTTTCTGTAGAAGAGCACGGTTGAACACTAACATATAAAAAGTAAAGGTCTTTAACTTGAATACATGTATAACAGGGACTGCGTTCAGGGCGAAGTCAGGCGAAAACTTTGCCGTAAATATTTTCACTTCACCCTATATGATAGGAAAAGCAAAATTCTAGTCGCCCTAGAATCCCTCTATGGAAGGTCTGACATGTGATTTTAATTGTGTAATCTGCCGTAATAAGCAAATGCGCTGAAGCGTGGTCATAGCGACACTTGGAATTCACACTTGAAAATCCACATCGCTGAAAATGGCGCATTGATTATACATTAAATTTTCGGGTAAATTAAAGCTGTGAAAGACCCTGATATGAATGCAGCAGATGATAAAAAGCTAGCTAATTGATAATTACTTTACGTAAACGTATAATTATTATATTTGTGTCTTATTGTTTTGTTTGCCTATATGTTTTGTTTGATTTACAATATCCCATATACGTTTGCCGGTCCATTCTTGTTATCAGCATTACATTTATGATAGTAATTAATTACAACTATATATTATGGCTATTACAATAATATTCATGATTAAAACTATGTAAATTGATAGAATTTGGATAATTATTATGAATTAAAGAACTTTTCTTCTTAATTAATTGCATTTAAAAGTTAGAGTCAGAAACTGTTGAACTAGAAAATGTTGTGTTGATGTAATGTTGTGTTGATATAAATCAAATGCTTAAATAAACTTTATTGAGCAACAGTTTTACTAGTAGTAGTACTTCATTAAATATCATCATAGCGATTTTCAAATACACATTTGTTTATTTTCCGTGCCATATATATGTATATTTTATATGCATGTACATATAAAGGTGTACATGTATATTTTGTGAGATAAAATTGGAAAAAAATCCAATGATACATCACTTCTCCCTATATTTCAAAACTTCTCCCTATTTTTTCTAAATTTTCAGTCCAAGGTAGTCCCTCGTATAATGAAGAAAACTAATTTACTCAACAATATATTATATTATTTGTATATTATATCATTGATTATTGATAGCTAGCTGATTTATTTTGAAGAAAAAGTCGAGCAATTATGAATGCTGCTTTATTGTCATCATTGTTGTGCAAAAAATTTAATGTAGCCCATTATTCAAATATTTCTAACATAAAACTTGAAATATTCGCTTATCATGACATGGTTCAGTTGTTAGACAAGGGGCATAATTTTGAAAGAAATATTTTTGAAGTTATGCCCCTTTGTTCCTTAGAATTTTTTAACCAAAGAGAGTTAACTCAGTCTCAACATGCAGTACTCTTGTATATTTCAGATACAATAAGCTATCAAGACAAGTGAGAGAGTTGGCTCGTAGAATAAAGGAGCTGGATGTAAAAGATCCCTTTAGATTAGAGGCAACAAACCAATTTCTGGAGAAGTTGTAAGTTTCCTACCATTTTCTTTTGCTTCTGATGCATTGTTATACAGCTAAATTGTATATTTTTGTATCGTTTTTTGTGTGGTACATTTAATTGACCATGGATGACCTAAGTGTCTCACTATTAAACTTCTAGCAACAGAAGTAATATATAATTATGACCAGAATATATCTATTATGTCCCTGGGGTCAAATATTGCCCCGTTCTATTTAATAATGTCTTAAGAATCTTCCCCGAAATTAAAAAAAACAACAGACCATAGATATTTAGCATGTGTCCTCTATACAAGTTTATAAATCATACCTCTTTAGTCAAAATTGGTCCAGTCCTGGGTTTACTAAGTTTATAACTTAATATAGACTTTATATATATTAAAAGGAAAACAAATTCAAGTCTTTATATAATAAATGTGCTAAACTACAATGCCCAGAGTTTTAAAAATATTGTATGTAGCATCATTGTCAAGTAGATCACTATAAAAGTTATATCAATACTGACCCTTGGATGAAAAATGGCCCTACAATACGGAGTATTTTAAATATTCATAGATTTACATGTAAATAGTAAACATGTCTAAAAAATCTAGGTGACTAAAACTTTTTGTTTAGGAAAATGACAGCACAATGCCTAAAGCTTAGATATTTGGCATGTTGCATTTTCCAGTGGACCTCTATAAAAAATCATGTTGCATGGGTACAAAATGAAATAACTTGCTCAAATGTGACCCTGGCAAATAGTCTGCTTCTGCATGGCAATTTTTAGCAATGAATCTGAGGTGAGCAATCTGGGGCAGTCAAAGCTCTCTATGTATTTTGTACTGTTGTGGCCGAAATAAATTTTGCTATTTCTGTTGAACATAATGATGCTTAAATTTAATCTTTTGTACTTGAAGAGATGGTGAAAGTGGAAGTACAATTGTGTTTGAGTGTGTGAAAGTTATTGACAATGTTAGTGAAAGGCATTGTGGGACATTTATCCGTCATTTGTCATTGTCACTTAATATTCATGACAGTATTCGACAAAAAACTTTGTGTTTACCCGAGGTGAACCAGTCGGGACCTACGGGGTATGGGAAAATGGTTATTGTGATGACTTCTAGACTGGTTAGACAGTTAGTGAAATTGAAACTGTTGTTATAATTAATTCATAAAGAATCTGCCATAGATAACCTGCTGACTTGAAATTAAATAATATGCATTAATTGGGTGGGTATTAAATTTCATTGATGGCCAAGGATTCTGTAAATATTTAGTTACTGTGACTATTAAAAGATATTAAACTTGTCAACATTTTGGGGAAATTTAGGACATGTCTTTATGAAATCTTCTCAATAATTAATGCATTATAATATAACAACCCCACCCCCCACCAAAAACAACACCCCCCCTCCCCCCACAAAAAAAAAAAATATCAAAGAAAAAATCAAGAACAACAACATTCTATAGAAATTACTATTAGGACCTAAGAAAATACTGTATGTTTAAAAGCATGACAAGATATATAATCATCTACAATAAAGGCTCCGACATTTTGGTTCCAGCAGGTCAAAGAATAAAGCCAGAATTAAGTAGGTTAATTCAACTTGTGAATGAATCTATGTAATCTGGTCATTAAACTATCAATCTACTTAAATCTGGCAGATATATTGTCAGTTTTACTCCAAGAAATCTTTGATTTGCCAAATAAATTCCGCTTGAATGTAACATTTTCATCTGATATTAATCTGTGTTTGACAGAAATTGGCAAGGTACACATCTCTATTGTCACTGATCTGTTAATTGTACATATAAAAACAAGAGAGAATCAAGGCTGTTTGTAAGAAATTGGCGCAGACGGCAATATTGGCCAATTACATTATGAGTATAATGAATGTTATATCATGTGTTAATTGTGAAGGAAATGCAACAGGGAGGGTTGCTGTTACAAACATCATATCTTGATTTGAAATATGACAGCTTAATTGGCTAATTCAGGAAGGAAAGATGTTTTTTGTTCAATGTCGGAATTATGTAGCAATTGAAAAAAAAAAGAAGATATTTCTAAGTATCATGTTATTTAGCTAATTATTGTTATGATATCTCTTAAACATGTTTCCTGTGTTTTTTTTATGACGTTTATTACTTACATGTATATATTGCACTTAATATGTCATTAAGTGTAAAATAAAAATAGCATGGTGCATATTTTCTGTAAGTACCTTACTGATTGGTCATTTTCTTTCAATATTTACAAGTACAGAGAGCTTTAATATATTTACACCACAAGCTAAAAGCATAAAATTTGGTTTTCTTACATAAATCAGCGGGGGGCAGAAAATATTCAAAAGATAATTTAGAAATACATGTATACTTAAATAGAAATCGAAAATTGTTTTTTGTGCTATTGTTAGGCTTAGCCCGATTTGAGTGCAATGCTTTTCAAGGTCTTTGTACAGCGAAACTTAAACTTTGCTATATGACCATTTAAGAGTCATTTGACTTAAAACTCATTAAAACTAAAACTGGGACTTATTAAATTTCTGGCCTTGTGGGCTTGGGCTTTAAAAAACATCCTCATGCTTCTTCAGATGTTAATGCATGAAAAAAAGTGGATTAACCCTATATAATATTGCATCATGAAAACTAGCAAATTTGTGCATATTTTATTTTTTCAGACATAGTATGGGCTTGATACCTACTAAGAGAAGTTTAGCACTAGCTGATGATGTCAATGCATCTTCGTTCTGCAGGTTAGTGAACTTAGCTGTAAAACTTTCCCTCGTACTTCACTTTAGTGTCGTTATATTTTTCTGGTCCTTTGGTATTATTGATTCCAACTCTTTGTGATTCCAACACTTTAAGTGTTAAAAACTGAGTATCGCTGAAGCCGGTGCCAGGGGGCGTGAGGGATGTTGCACTTATTCATTATCTCTCATGTACAGACTCAATCAAACCGAGTCTGCAATTTTCATGTAATTTTGTTGTGACTTATGCTCCCGAGGGATCACACTGTATCCTTTTTTTTAGTGTCTAAACCAGGTTAGCTTTATAACACATGACAGTGCGTCTGTGGCAAGAGATTAAGGTATACTTTTAAACCACTTGCCTCTCACTGCTGTATGTTTAAGCCAGATTCTTCATATGAGAAAGCTATCCAGCTAGCCTACAGAACATCAGTAGTTTTACTCAGGTACACTTTTGTTCCTGAAATAATGTAGAGGGGCACCCAAAGTTTTCTTCCAACAGTAAAACTGGAAAGTTGCCATATGACCTATAAGTATACTTTGGTGGTTCAACATTAAACCCACTAAAAAAACATGTTACAGATGTGTTACATTATACATATATGTTAACTTTATGATAATATTACATTTAAAACCAGTTTTCACATAGAATCAAAGTATGAAAAGTACAGCTGATGTTAAATATTTAATTGTTTAATTTATACTAGTTACGGTCAGGCGTTCATGACCAGGGTCCGAGTTTATACAGATCTTTTGACCTCATAGGATATGTTGGAAACTTGGTCAGAGTATGTTCTGACCAATGAAAATGATGAGATCTGAGACAGTTTTCTCAGAAAAACATTTTATAACCTCAAAGCTTGGTTATCTTGGTATTGATGTTCTAAACTTTCAGTATTTGGTACCACCATGATCATGTAAGTTGAAATAGAAATTTCACACACCAGCAGGGCTGGTTTTTGTACTTACTCATGTTTTAACTTCCTTTTGACAATGTCACAAGGTATCGTACTTACTCTTGTTTTAACTTCCCTTTTGACAATATATCTATTTATATAATATTTCTTTGTACTTGTATTTTCAGACGAAGGTTACCAGTAGTTATGGTTAGAAACCGAATGTCAGAAAGAGTGAAGCCTGCAACAACGTTCATAGAACAAGGACGTATCCTTTCATGTTATAATGGGTCTCTGTGGTGGAGCGGTTAAAGGTCTGACTCCAAACCACTTAGTAAAGTCCTATATTGCTTTAAGTTTGAGACCTGCCAATGGTTCTTTTTTCTACCAAAGAAACTTCAGGACATATTGTTGTCTGGCTTTGTTCCACGCAAACATAAAATGGTTTATGAGCTTCATTTTGTCCGTTATTTTTGTTTTCAAAAAAAGAAGAAAGTCACATAAACTAGTCCGTATATGTGATAATTTTTAAAGAAAAAATCATGAAAAAAGCGCATTAACTCTCAATGTTGGCGTGTCAGTCTGCACTACTGAATAGGGATAGCTTGGATAAGTGGAGGGTATTTTTCTTGTGAGAGCTCTTATATTTAATGTAATTAATTTATTCTTTGATTATCTTTTTGACCTTGACATTGTGTTATAGATGTTCGTGTGGGACCAGAAGTTGTAACTGATCCAGCGTTTCTAGTTACAAGGTATGATAAAGATTTTGTTGTTGATAGTGCTAATAATTAAAAGCTCTAATGATTAAAAAGTGTTTAAGTTTTTAAGTATGCATAAATGTTCTGAAAGCACAGATTATGATTAAAACATAAATGTTCCTGATTTTCCTTATCATTCAATTTTGTATATAATTTTTCTAAATTATCTTTCATTGAAGCAACTTAAGATTACATTTATTTTCTTATTAACCCCCTTTGAAAATATTTTCTTATTATCTCCCTTTGAATATAATTATAAAAGAAATTCAATCAGGAAATTCAGCAGGGATATGAGTCAGTAGGTTTGACAATGCTAGATGTTTGCTTTAAAGAATAATATAGGATGATCCACAATTTTTGTCACAGCTATAGGACTTGCATACAAATGCAACAAATAAATGTAAAATTCAAATTTCTTTTTCGCAGACAAATGGAAGACTTTGTGACATGGACAGATACATCCAAGATCAGGAAACATGTTCTAGATTATAATGAGATGGTAATATTTTATAGTGTTTATTAACTGGCTTGTTTGTAATAATTATAAGATATATAAGATTGCTGAGGCAATATAATGTAAGTTATTTAAGCTGAAAGAATAAGTAATTATGCCCCCACTTCGAAGAAGAGGGGGTATATTGCTTTGCACTTGTCGGTCCGTCGGTCCGTAGACCAAATGGTTTCCGAGTGATAACTAAAGAACCCTTAGGCCTAGGAACTTCAGACTTGGTATGGTGATTGGTCATGCCCAGTAGATGACCCCTATTGATTTTGGGGTCAAGGGGTCAAAGTCACATTGACCTTGTATGTTAAAACGGTTTCCGATCAATAACTAAAGAATGCTTAGGCCTAGGAACTTCAAACTTGATATGGTGATTGGTCATGACCAGTAGATGACCCTATTGATTTTTGGGTCAAGGGTCAAGGTCACATTGACCTTGTATGTTAAAACGGTTTCCAATCAATAACAAAAGAACGCTTAGGCCTAGGAACTTCAAACTTGATAATGTGAATGGTCATGACCAGCAGATGACCCCTATTGATTTTGGGGTCAAAGGTCAAGGTCGCATTGACCTTGAAGGTAAAAATGGTTTCCGATCAATAACTAAAGAACCCTTAGGCCTAGGAACTTCAAACTTGGTATGGTGATTGGTCATGACCAGCAGATGACCCCTATTGATTTTGGGGTCAAGGGGTCAATGCCATAGTGACCTTGTACTTAATGACCGTTTCTGACCAATAACTCAACAACTCGAGTTGCCTTGGTTGATATTTTTATGTGCTTTTGGTATACACATTTGAAGGTCTTATGTAATATAACAACTTGGCTGTCATTAATGAGGCCTATGTGATTCATAAAATTTATGTATATATTATTTGGTAAGATTTTTAATAACTTTAATTGCTGCACACAACCTATCGGGTCACAATAATTATTACCTTGTGACTAGTCATGACCAGTAGATTCTAGATAACCCTTATTAATTGTTTGTTCACTGGGTCAGAAGTCATGCATAATAACCTGATCACATGACAAATTGGCTGCCGATAGGGGGCATACATTTTTTACAAACATATCTTGTTGTATCTTATATGCATTGCTCAAGAGCTACTGTGTTAGTTATGCAGGTTGCTGAATGAATATGTTAGTTTACTTATATGGGTTGCTGAAGGGTGATATTGTTAGTTTTATAGGTTGCCAATGGGACATAGTGTATATGGGTTTTGTTCCTGAAGGGATGTAATGTTAGTTATATGGGTTGTGATGTAATATGTTAGTTATATGGGTTACTGATGGGATATCATTAATATGGGTTGCTTAAGGGATATGTTAGTTATATTGGTTGCTGAAGGGACAAAGTGTTTATATAGGTTTCTGCAAAACTATGTTTTTATATGGGTTGCTGATGGGATATCATTAATATGGGTTGCTTAAGGGATATGTTAGTATTGGTTGCTGAAGGGACAAAGTGTTTATGGAGGTTTCTGCAAAACTGTTTTTTATATGGGTTGCTGATTGAATATTATTTATATTGGTTGCTGAAGGGATATGTTAGTTATATTGGTTGCTGAAGGGACAAAGTGTTTATATAGGTTTCTGCAAAACTATGTTTTTATATGGGTTGCTGATGGGATATCATTAATATGGGTTGCTTAAGGGATATGTTAGTTATATTGGTTGCTGAAGGGACAAAGTGTTTATATAGGTTTCTGCAAAACTATGTTTTTATATGGGTTGCTGATGGGATATCATTAATATGGGTTGCTTAAGGGATATGTTAGTTATATTGGTTGCTGAAGGGACAAAGTGTTTATATAGGTTTCTGCAAAACTATGTTTTTATATGGGTTGCTGGTGGAATATTATTTATATTGATTGCTTAAGGGATATGTTAGTTGTATAGGTCACGTAAGGGATTTATAGGAAAATATACTAGTAGCAAGAATGAGAAAAATATACCTGGAGACACCAGCCATGTTTTATTTAGATTTCAAAATGCTACATTTTCCCAGTATCTCGTAACCTATATAACAAATTTTCACTCGACAAATTCTGTTATTCAAAGATTGAAGAAATAAACTATTACTAAATAAAGACTATTTCACTGTAGGTGCTAAATTTTGTGCCTTGCAAAACTGAACACCATATTAATTCTTACATTTGTGGGGGCGTCCGTGGCCGAGTGGTTAAGGTCGTTGACTTCAAACCACTTGCCCCTCACCGCTGTGGGTTCGAATCCCGACAGGGACTTTGGATTCTTTCATGTGAGGAAGCTATCCAGCTAGCTTACGGAACGTCGGTGGTTCTACTCAAGTGCCCATTCGTGCCTGAAATAATGCACGGAAGGGCACTTGAGGTCTTCCTCCACCAGTAAAGCTGGAACGTCGCGATATGACCTATAATGTGTCGATGTGACGTAAAACCCAAAACAAACAAACTTACATTTGTGTAATATTAACACCTGAAGTTATTAAATTGCATATATTGTAATTATATACATTTATTCCAATGAGTAGGGAATTATTTAATGAAAATTGGCCAATAATGAATCTAATAATTGGTAAACATTGCCCATTTTGTACATTTGATGTTTCATTTAAAAGTTCAATAAACAACTTATCTTCATTGTTTTGTTTTTTCAGAGAGATGATTTTGATCTGCTAGATTGAATGATGAAGTGAAAATGATTGTACATGACATCTGTGATATACCGGTATTATCAGAATACAGTGCACCGACTCCAAGAAAATAGTGCAAGTGAAAACCGCAAGTTCAGGATTCTGTAGGAAAATGACATCCTCAAGTCAAAGGTCAATAATTAACATCCTTGGCAAAGGTTAATAAGCAGAAGTTTTAAAAATCTAATAGCGAATTATAATCAGAAAATTACACATCAACATGTGGAATGTTTCTATTCTTTATTTTCTGATTTGAACTACCTTGAAATCCTCACCAGGATGCTGGAAAAAAGTATAAATATCAATTTCATAACCTGTAAAGTATACTGTATGCTGTCTTTTATGCAAATAATATAAATTATATTTTGAATTCAATCATTTAACTTTGAAAGTATTATCATGGCCTATTGTGTCAAGAGGGGGGAAAAAGGTAAAATATATTTGTTCAATATTTTGTGCTGATTATACATATTGTTGGTAAACTAACCACATTATGGTTAACATATTCTGGGTAAACTAGCCACATTACGGCATACATGTACATATTCTGGGTAAACTATATAGCCACATAATGGTACACATGTTCTTGGTAAACTATCCACATCATGGTATAAAGATGATATTGCTGAAAGAAAATGACCATTAATAACAAAAAGAGCATGTCTAGGTTATTGTTTTAGATAACAATTTACATGTACTTTTCTGTTTTTAATTTAATTGCTTAAACCTCTTATACAACAAAAGAATACAGTACAACTCGTATAGAGCTACATTCTTTGGGAGCCCAAAGATTTTGGTTGTTGGGGGGAGAGGTGTTAATCTAGTGAGGTTAATTTAAGAGCAAAGTCTTTGGAAACTGTTATTGCAATTGCTGTACAGAGGGTTGCTCTGTGAAGGTTGCATTGTAGTTCCAAAATATTTGTTATAAAAAAAATTTGAATTGGTAATATTAGTAGTATATTTGGAAATTTAAGACTATATATTTTTCAAGTACAGATTTTATATGTTGAAGATGTAAAGTCGAGATCTTTTGAGTGTATTGACAAAGCATGGTTTTATTTCAATTGTTAATTTGATAATTAAAATTTATTAAAAGAAATTTGTAATGAATATGTTCTTGTTTCTTGATTTTCACAAGATAATTAATACCAAAGGGTGGAAAGATATTTTGATAAGCATGATGTAAGGAAACAGAAGACAAAAGTTAATATTGATAAACGCATAATAAATGCAACAAGCTTTATATCTCCTGACACCTGTGTTAAGGGGAGCGGTGGCCAAGTGGTTAAGGTGTCTGCCTCTCAACCCTTGAGCCCTAATTGGGTAATGTTTCTTCATATGACACCTGCCAAGTACTGGTTGGTTCCAGGAAACGGACTCGAAAGTGATTAACATAAGTTGCAAGAACTTGTTTTGCAATCCTGCTAAAATATATGTTTAAACCAGACAGGCAGCCATCACTTCTTCAGAATCCAAACTATTTGACCCTTTACTTCATATTACAGAGGATCTTGAACACAATAGTAGTTTTTCCTTCATACCTGTTGTACAGGATTGAAATATGTCAACAAATATGTTCAGTCAGTTTTTCCCCCAGTGGATTATAAGCAGAGAGGTGGTGTATGAATGTTGACATGTTCAATATCTGTACTCTCAGTGCCTAAAGGGCGGATCAACCCTCATTAAGTTTAGAATACAAACACTGAAGGTTTTATTTTTCACTCTGGCCTTCCTTGTGGAGGAACACACAGGTTGTCCCTCTTCAATATTTAAGTTGAAGTTTTGGTACCTGCACAGAACCATCGGCCTTCTGTAAGCTAGCCAGATACTTGTTACACATTAATGATGAAAGAAAGTCCGAAGTCCATGAAAGGAATTTGAACACACAGCACTGATGATCATCTATTATAGAAAGTATGATGGACTAAAAATGACAAAATATCATAATGTAAGCAACCTGATAATGATGACAAAACTGATCAAAACTTTAAAACCAAATTTAATGACTGTTTTTAACAGTTTACATGGCCAACATAAAACAATTAACAATAAAATTTTTGCACTTGTTTACATGAGAAGAAATTGAACATTTTTTGCACTTGTTTACACATGAGCACCAATATTGAACAGTTTTCACAATTGCTTACATGTGAGCAGAAATATACATGTGAGCAGAAATATACATTTGAGCAGAAATATCAACATTTTTCAAACTTGTTTACATAGGAAGAGAAATATCAAACATTTTTCACACTTGCTTACACATGAGCAGAAATATCTACTATTTTTCACACTTGTTTACATAGGAAAAGGAAAATCAAACATTTTTCGCACTTGTTTACATGTGCATATTGAATATTTTTTTGCAAGAACATAAACATTAACACATAAATGCAGCGTTTATTTTGATTTTTTTTAAATGGGCTCAGAAAAGGATTAGATTATGTTTAACTTATTGAACTTGTCAATTTAAACAAATATGCTAAAATATGCATAAAACTATATAGAATTTTATAATAATGTCATGCTTTTTATAAAAAGTTTTACTACTATAATACCAATTCTTAGATATGTGGAGATTTTACCTCACAAATTATAACGACAGAGAGCTATTAGACTTTAGCACAATTGCTATGTACAAAATGGATCATTAATAAAATCGCAGACAGCTATGAAAACTTTATAAATTTGTACAATTATGTTAAAATGCTTTAAAAAAAAAATTTACTACTATAAAATTCATAAGATTTAAGCACAATTTGGAACTTTTGCTATGTACAAAATACATGGCTCTATGAAAAATAATTTAACTTCATCATTTTACAAAGAACGATTGGTTAGTTATAATTGCCCAGATAAAACATTAGTAGCATATAAGAACATATTTCCACATATAGCACTGTCAGATATACAAATATATACATGTATAGCACCTTAATGTAGAGGTTTTTATGTTAAATGCAGCACAAGTATATATACAAATATTTTAAAATTTAGAGCAAATTAAACACGATTAATTAATTATACATAAGGTTAAATACTGTTTGGTACATTGACTAATCTGCTGACAAATTCAAACTAAAAAGTAACACGAGGTCTGCTTAAAGCATAAAAAAATACATAAAATAAACATAATTTTAAAAACAACAACAAAACGGGATAAAACAAACAAATTATTTACATAGAAAGACTTTGTATTTGCATATGAGACTTCCTTCCATGGAAGTTAAATTAGAATTGAATGCCCTAAAATTGAAATTAAAAACAATAATCTCACTACACAATTGCTGGGTTATTGGTTATTACACTGGCTTGAACCTCTGCCTGCCCTACCAGCTGATAAGTGCTGGAGAAGTGGTAACATTCCTGGAACTAACCCTGCAGCAGACGGGTTTATTGGCTGACCCCGTCCTAGAGATGGGAATGTCCCTAATGGATTCATGTTCCCTACTCCAGCCATATTTGCATGACTAGCTTGTAATTGTTGAAATAAAAGTGGATTAAGTTGAGGTATTTGTCCTGCCTGTAAGTTGGGATTCAGTCCAGCTCCAAGTGCCAGATTATTAGCCATGAAAGAGTTGGCCATGTCCCCCATACCGGTATTTGGGAGACCAGTCTGGGTCATAAACAAAGGGTTAAACATTCTCTGCTGCTGTTGTAAAAGCAACATGTTCTGAGCTCCAATCATTCCTGGTAAACTTCCTGCTGCAGACTGGTCTCCAAGCATTCCTGGTAAACTTCCTGTGGTGGACTGGTTTCCAAACATTCCTGCTGGTAAACTTGTGGTAGACTGGGTTCCAAGCATTCCTGGTAAACTTCCTGTGGTGGACTGGGTCCCAAACATTCCTGCTGGTAAACTTCCTGTTGTGGACTGGGCTCCAAGCATTCCTGGTAAACTTCCTGTTGTAGACTGGGTTCCAAGCATTCCTGGGAAACCAGCTGCAGACTGTGACATTAATATGTCATTTCTATTAGCCTGAGCTTCAATCTGGCTTGGACTGGCTACAGGTTTAGTTGGAGTTGTACTGGTGACTGGCTGTGTCATAATATTAGCAGCTGCTATAGGCTGAAATGAAGAAAGATGATTTTCATTATTAATTCTTTTTGAGATTTAGTTTTAACTGGAAGAATAATAATTTGGTAATGTAGTAAATATAGTTTTGACCTAAATTTCTAAATGATAACAAGAACCCACACAAAGATCCAAAGTAGCTAAAAGTACAGTTAAAAAGCTATATCTTACCTTTGATGAAGAAGCTATTATATTTTGTATGACTCTTTGGTTCTCGAGCCTCAAGGTCAGTCAAATCAAGACTGGTACCCTGCTGGACTTTTTGAACACTTTCTGAGGTACTCTGAGCACTTTTCTTTCCAGCTGATGTACTCGAGTCTGAAATAGTTACACATAATTATACTACTTAAATCTTACTAACACTTTTGCAGTTAAATTTGCCAGACAAACTTACACTAGAATCAAGATGCTACTGTTTTTTAAGGGGATGGCTCAGGTAATAGACATCAACTAAAAACTGCAAACACTAAGACAATACATTTTAAATACTTGCTTGGTGTTTAACTTCACACGGAATCAGTTCAGAACATGTTCACAATTTTTCAATGTTGCTTTTGTTTAAGTTACTCTCTTAGTGTATTTATTCAGGCATGTGAGTAGAACCACAACTTTTCAAACTCATTGTTTATCTTCCTAACATGAAAACATATAACTACATTAGCAGGATTCAAACCTACAACTGTGACAATGGGGGATAATAAATATACTAACAAAAACATCAGAAGCAATGACAAAACTAAGCTCACCTGTTGTCTTCTGCTCCTCTAGTTCTTGTTTGATCATCATTATTTCTACCTCACAGTTATTCAGCTGGTTAACCACCTCGTCTTGTAGAGACAATGGATTACTCATCATAGACTGTAATATCCTCTTCCTGTAAGGTACAATAGCTTACAGTTATTTTCTTACCCCTCTTTCTACATTTGTACAATGGTATTGTTCTGATTAAATTTCGACCTGTCCATTGTTGGTTTTAAACATATTTATTTAAGCTCGATTGCTAAACAAGTTCTTGCAACTTATATTAATCACAGTCGAGTCCGCTTCCTGGAACCAACCAGTACCACTGTCATATGGAAACATGGTCGTGACCCGTTAAGGGCTCGAACCCATGATCCCTGGGTTGAGAGGCAGACACCTTAACCACTAGGCCACCGCTGTTCATTGTTAATATGTGGAATTGTGATCACTAGAAATTTGTGTATAAACATGGATGCCCCAACATTCTACTGTGTTGTCAGTCTTAGGACGTACAGAGTGATAGTGGATGAATAAGGGCATTTTTTTTCAGGCAAAATGTGGCACCTGAGCAGAACTACAGAAGGTCCGTTAGCTGGCTGGATAGCTCTCTCATTTGAAAAAATCTAAAGTCCCCTGTGAGATTTGAATGTGCTCTCTGTCCAAGAACAAGGTTATGACAATTTAAGCCAATTTCAATAATTATGTGGACAGATGCTTCTACATGCCACTGTTTTGTCAATCTATGCAAAGACAAGGCAATATCTAGTGGTGGAGGCATAAAATTTACTTTCGTACCTCTTAATTTGAAGAGCTTGCAGTGCCATCTGTTTCTCTTCCAATGATAACAGTATATCAGCAGAATCCTCATCCTGCACTGTCTCCACTGGTTTCTCTTCACTTGTCACACTACTCTGTAATGTCATTGCATGTGTTAGTAACATTATTTATAATTGCTTTGACAGGTTACTGTATATTAGGATATTTCAGTACCATAAATTCCAAGATTTTGGCAGTGACTTAGTATGACTTGTATGCTAAGGTTATATATCATTACTTTAGTGCAGTAACCTGCTAACTCCTACTGAATTAAATACTAATACCAGTTTTAATTATTACCCCTCACTTTTTTCTTAATGCTAATTTCCCATAGGCCTCTGGGAGTTATTCTTACTGTTAATGCAAGTGTACCACGTGACTACGAATTTTGTACTGTTACATAGGTAACATTATTTTTTAACAGTATAAAATCTGGTCACGTGGTCTTTTTTCTAAATAAAATGAAATAAAATGGCCGCCATTTTTTTCTTGATTCATTCTTATTTTCGACGATAGTGCATCGCCGAAGTAACTATTACTCTGATAAAATTAGTTCTTTGCAACCTAGAGTCCCTTTCGCGTATTAAATATCTTTTGTTTAATAGTCAACAGGAAACATCCGTTTTCAACGGAAGTAATTGTAATGTAAATAATTTTGTGTCAAACTGGAACATGCAGACAATTAAGCGTGCAACAAAGGATAATTTAACAATTTTAACCAGTGAAACGTTACAGATAGAGTTGGTGGACAGACATCTGTAGGATATCATCGTTATTTTCTAAATGCACTTTGTCAAAAACCATTCGAAGAATATTCTGGATGCAGAGCCAGAAGGATCAGATTTCACAGATCATAACCTTATAAATGGGTTAGTGTTTTGTTTTCTGAATAAAACACAGCTTATTTTATGTTTATGACTGGTAGATATCGTCACTTTGCCTAAAAGAAAAAAGAAAAACAGCTTCTCAAGTAGGCCTACAGTGCACTTAAAACTTGCAAGGTAAGGTCTAAGGACAGTTTAGTTATTGCTTCTCTTGGCTTAATTTTTGTTACAGTTAGATTTAGTTGCCAAATTCAGATCATCTCAGTATTTGTTCGGGGTAATAAATAAATAACACATGGGTTTGTGGGTAACAGTAAAAATATCATCCCTCGTATAAATACTGTTACCCTCGGCTACGCCTCGGGTAACAGTATTTTCCTCGGGATGATATTTTTACTGTTACCCACAAACCCATGTGTTATTTATATACTGTTACTGCACTAAAGTAGATTCTAATGTTATAGGAGACTGAAAATTACATAACTGACTTTATTTAAACTTGGGGTGACCATATAATAACAGAAACATTTGTAGCGAAAAAAATATGAGGTCACCGGATCAGCATTGTGATAATCTTTTTAAAAGCGGTCTTCGATAGTGGCCCCTAAAAAAGGTTTTAAATCCCAAAAACCTTGAATTTTAATTATTTTCAATTTTCCCATTTTGGAGATAAACAATCCCACACAGAAAACTTCACCAAAGCATGTCCCCAACATTGAGCAAAAAGTTATTAGCCTGCCAATTCCCTTTGGAAAAAAGTGAAAAATTTGACAAAAAAATTTTCATTTTATAACATTGAAATGTTTAGGAAAAGAAATCACCCCCCAGATACTCAGGGCAAAACTTGGCTATCAGTTCATGTAAAGCTGGTAAAAGTGTCTCACTATCATGTCCAAATACTTCTAAAATCTTTGGTAGACTGAAATATATTGAATTTTTTTAAAAACTTTTATAAATTTTTAAAAAGAACTATATAAAATGTGATAAATCCCCGGGAAGACGCTTAAAAATGGGGAATGACTAGAAGGAAACCTTTAAAAGAAGAAAGAGAATGGTTGTGGGCAAAAAATGTTGTGGCTTGATTTCCTTTCAATGTGGTTCCCAAATTAAAATAAAGGTTTTTATTGATTATTTTGAAATTTAAACCGAAAGAGTTTTGTTCCCTTGAGCCTGACTTCCCTATTTTTCCCAACCATTTATAGTTGCATTAAATTATAAACGTTACTTTTTAAGTTATGCACCAGACAAGGAAAAGGAACAAAGGGCAATAACTCTACAAATACTGAAGCTGGAGTTATGGTTATTGTACAATGCACTTCTTCTCATTGCGCTTGACCATTGTATGAAGTTGTATTGAATTCCAACTACTAATTTTTAAGTTATGCACTGGACAAAAAAAAGTAACAAAGGGCAATAACTGTAATTAGTGCAATTAGAGTTATGGTTCTTGTGCACTGCGCTTTATCTCACTGCCCTTGTCCATTGTATGAAGTTTCATTGAATTCCAACCATTAATTTCAAGATATGCACTGGAAAATAAAAAGTAACAAAGGGCAAAAACTCTTAAATGAGACAAGAAAGAGTTATGGTTTCTGTGAACTGTGCTTCCTCTCAATATACTTGACCATTGAATGAAATTGTATTGAATTCCCAGTAGTAGTTTCCAAGTTATGCTCTGGACAAAAAAAGCAATGGAAAAGTAACAAAGGGCAATAACCCTATAATTACTCTGGACAGAGTTATGGTTCTTGTGCACTGCACTTCCTCTTATTGTGCTTGACCATTTGATGACGTTGTTTTGAATTTCGACCAGTACTTTTCAAGTTATGCTCCGGACAAGGAAAAGGATCAAAGGGCAATAACTTTGTAATTTGTCAAAATAGAGGTATGGTTCTTGTGCACTGCACTTCCTCTCAATGTGCTTGACCATTGTTATGAAGTTATACTGAATTCCAACCATAAGTCTTCAAGTTATGGTCCGGACAAAAGAAAACAATAGACAAGAAACATGGCAATGCCATGAAACCAGGTTTTCAATTATCACCATTGTAGATAAATATGTTGTATTTGAAATACAAATACAAGCAACAAACAATGTAACTATGTGCAATGTAAAACATGAATAATGTAGGAGGAATTGCCACTGAAGAAGTGTTCACTATAATATTATGTATAAGGAAAAAAACAAAGGCCCATAATTAGGTCAAAAACTATCCAATCACAAAACCCCGACAATATGTGCCAGGGTGCTTGATGACAAAGCTTCTGTGAAAGTTTGAACAAAATCCGTTGAGAAATGTAGGACGAGTTCAGCACAGAAGGATTTGTTCACTATAATTATATTGATAATTCTGTATAATGAAAAACAAGTTACAAAGTAGACATGAAATAATATATCATATCTTTTTTAAATTACCTCCAAAGATGATATGACTTTGACTGCCAAATCAAGTTAAAATCATGTAAACAGGATTTTCAATGTTAATGTCACTGTGACCTTGACCTTGGAGCCAGCCATGCGGAACATGCTTTCTGCACGTCATCTTGAGATGTGGTAAACATTTGTCTGAAGTTTCATCAAAATTCTTCAAAGGGTTGAAGAGTTACAGAGCGGACAGGATTTTCAATGTTAATGTCACTGTGACCTTGACCTTGGAGCCAGCCATGCGGAACATGCATTCTGCACGTCATCTTGATGTGGTAAACATTTGTCTGAAGTTTCATCAAAATTCTTCAAAGGGTTGAAGAGTTACAGAGCGGACACAATTTCGTTTGACGCCCGAAGTTAAAATCATGTAAACAGGATTTTCAATGTTAATGTCACTGTGACCTTGACCTTGGAGCCAGCCATGCGGAACATGCGTTCTGCACGTCATCTTGATGTGGTAAACATTTGTCTGAAGTTTCATCAAAATTCTTCAAAGGGTTGAAGAGTTACAGAGCGGACAGGATTTTCAATGTTAATGTCACTGTGACCTTGACCTTGGAGCCAGCCATGCGGAACATGCGTTCTGCACGTCATCTTGATGTGGTAAACATTTGTCTGAAGTTTCATCAAAATTCTTCAAAGGGTTGAAGAGTTACAGAGCGCGACACAATTTTCGTTTGACGCCCGAAGTTAAAATCATGTAAACAGGATTTTCAATGTTAATGTCACTGTGACCTTGACCTTGGAGCCAGCCATGCGGAACATGCGTTCTGCACGTCATCTTGATGTGGTAAACATTTGTCTGAAGTTTCATCAAAATTCTTCGAAGGGTTGAAGAGTTACAGAGCGGACAGGATTTTCAATGTTAATGTCACTGTGACCTTGACCTTGGAGCCAGCCATGCGGAACATGCGTTCTGCACGTCATCTTGATGTGGTAAACATTTGTCTGAAGTTTCATCAAAATTCTTCAAAGGGTTAAAGAGTTACAGAGCGGACACAATTTCGTTTGACGCCCGCCCGCCCATCCGCCCGCCATACCCCAATCTAATAACCAGGATTTTCAAAATTGAAAACCTGGTTAAAAAGTAACAAAGGGCAATAACTCTGTAATTACTTTAGATAAAGTTATGGTTCTTGTGCACTGCACTTCCCCTTATTGTGCTTGACCAATGTATGAAGTTGTTTTGAATTCCAATGTGTAGTTTTCAAGTTATGCTCTGGACAAGGAAAAGTAACAAAAAAGTAACAAAGGGCAATAACTCTGTAATTAGTGAAGATGGATTTAAGTTAAGAAAAAGACCTTCTTGGTAACTTGCCTTCTATAAATGCCTTCTAATTCTAATGTTGAACAAATATTAGTTAAAAGTTACTGTGCTTACTATATACAACACTACCTCGGACAAATAAGTCAGAAAATCAATTCCTTGACCGTTTTTTTATGTAAGAATTTCAAATTTTATCTTTTTATGCTTTAGGACCTCATTGGAGTTCCATTAAAGCACAATGTATCTGCCTGTAAGCAGTGGTTTCACATAAATGGGAAAAACAAAAAAAAAATTATGTTTTACCTTTCTAGTCTATACAGAGACAGAAATTGTTGTTTAGTGGCTGTACCATTCCTCACTGATTTTACATTATACCTGAAATATAACCAATGCAGAATGCATATATACCAAACTTGGATAAAAGTGTGAAAATAACACATTAAAATGTGATAGTTCAATTGTTTTCATTGTCTACTAACAGAATTTTTAAATAACTCTATTGTGAAAAACCACTTTTAAATGCATATTTACAAAATAATCACAGAAGATTTTAACACAATATGCAACCTGTCTTAACAAGCATTTTATTATACTTATTTATCACACACCCGTGCCGATTTTGCGACTCCGTAAATATGGTATTGCACGGCTGTGCATATATTTTGACGTAATATATAGAGGATATTTGTTTGTTTGTGTGTAAGATGAAATTTTATTTCATCGAGTGTGCTTTAAAAACAGTATTCTCACGAGTGGCGTAGCCACGAGTGAGAATACTGTTTTTAAAGTTCACGAGATGAAATAAAATCACATCTTACACAACAAACAGACAAATTTTCTTTTTATTTTATGCTTTAAAACAAGTTAAAACGAAATTTCCATAATTTTAACATTAATAATAAAATCTGTTTCCCCCATTGAGAGCCCCATTCAGAGGGAATTTCTCATTAAAAACAAGAAGTCTTGAGCTGAGAAATAAGTCCGCCAATCAAGGTTAAATGACTGTGATATTTATTCATTTTATTAAAAATTATGAATGATCGCTTGTTTTAATAATAAAAACAAACAATTCTTGTAGGAGAAAAAAGTCCAACATCCATCATATTTCTGTTACTTACTGCGAATTTATATTAGACCTGGCTTTGTAAATGTAAGCGGCAGCCATTTTTTAAAGTTGTGTATTTCATGGGAGGAAAATAATTGTGTAAGATTCAGAAGGATATAATTTGGATTTGTTAGTCAAACACCTTTTTAAAAGAAAGAAAACTTATTTGAGGATTGTAACAGACAAAAAATAAGTGTTGACAGAAGTGAAAACATTCAGAAAAGGAAGCTAGGAAAATGGAAAACTTGAAGCTTGCTAAGGCATTGTAAGGAACGCTGGGACTGGGTTGTTTTACTTATTTTACGAGTGATGGCTGTCAATGCTTTTCAATTTTTCATAAAGCATACGGCAGTTATTGCTCGTAGGATACTTTAATATGCCCAAATGTCATCAAGAGCAGTTTCGCATGGGGAAGGAATGTATTTTTCAGACTGTAAAAACGAAACAAAAAAATTTAGAGACGAACTTTTGTGATTGGAATTTGAAGGAATAGAAGTAAGTTTTCTCTCTTTATTACTTTTGACATTTAAGTTATTTATCTATTTCAGCTTTGCTATTTTTTTTAACAGCCTGATATTGTCAGAATTGTCAGTAAAAATAAAATTGAGGTACCACATGGGGAAAATCTTAAAAAAGTAGTTTTGTCATTGAAAAAAGTGAAATTATATTTTGATAATTTTCACTGTGAAATTATCAAATATAATTTTCACGGATAAATCAGTAATCCACTGAAAAGCATAAAATAAATATTTCTTGACTGCTTGAGACATTCCAGATATATTAAATTATAATTATATAACCTGCTGAATTTGCCCTGCAATGCGTTCAAAGGAATTCAATGTCAAATAACAAACAAGGGCCACAACAGAGTGGGGGCTACACTCAACTTTTTATTTCCAAAGATAAGAACACTTTAGGAAAGGAGTTTCACCCCCCCCCCCCCCACAACAGTTTTGTGTACAAAATCACAACAAACATCAAAATTTCATATTTGATCATATTTGACCCTAACAGTTAAGGTCATTTAAAGATCAAAGCCATACTTTTTTAAACACGTCCATGTTCATTTGAGTTGCTTTTTCAAAATATGAATCATAATATCTCTACATTAATAACAAAGTTGTGACAATAGAGCATATTTCAACAACTTGACCATGACAGTCAAGGTCATTTTAAGGTCAATCATAATAACAAAGTTGTAGCAATTAGAGCAAATTTAACAACTTGACCATGACAGTCACGGTCATTTAAAGGTCATTTTGACAGCATGGCATTGGCAACATCAATGACATGACTGTAGCAATAGCCTTTTCTTCTTGGAAAAAGTGGAGCTAAAAATGAGCCATCAAAAGAAAGAAGCCTCATCAGTCTATAATAGCGGAAATGGATGAACAGTTTTGGTTCTAGCAGATTAACGGTGAAGATCAATGTGCCTCATCACATGTTGATCAAGAAAAAATTCAAACATCCACCTATCAGTATAGAGTATTGAAGAATTACCTTTCAAGTTCTTGGAAGAGATCAGGAAACTTATCACTGCACACTACTCTTTTTTCTATATCCATCCTTTTCTTTCTCAACTGAAACAAAAATATATCATATTCATAATGTTATCTTTTCAAAGATAAATGCACTGAATTTATTTGTACAACATGTGCATAACTTGAACATAATTATGTCATCAAATTTGCTCAGGATTATATGGTGTTTGCTGGGTCTCAAAGGAACACAACTGAGGTTTTTTTGACATGACCAAACTTGAAATAATTTTTCGGGATAAATGTTCTATTTGATGAAGGTATGGACTAATATTGAACTTGTGTGCAAAATTTCAGATCATTCGCTCACTCCATTTTAAAAGAATAATTATTCAAATTGTGAAAGATGACCCAAAATAGATACACAAAACAGTTTTCAATTTATCTGAGATTATTTTGAATTATCCTTTGCATATCTTTCTGTTTTATATGCCCTTCTGTTTTAATTGATCTATGTATGAAATTCAAATTTTATGTTTTTAGGCTTTTGCACCTCAGTGGAGTACCTTTAAGCTACTGCAATACTGTCAAGGTCACATAGCAACTTTCTAGGTTTACCTCATGAGAGCTCCTCAGTAACACTATTTTATTCCAGTTACAAGCAGACATCTGAGTAGAACCATAAATAGCTTCCTCACATGTATCTAGTAGGATTCAACCAAACCATGGCGAGGGACAAATGATTTGAAATCAGCCACCATAACCACTTAGCCACTAAGACTGCACATGTTTATATCAAATTTGACCAGTGTATAAGTAATTGTCTACCTACCATTGGAGTTAGTATATCTTCATCCCAGAATAATTCAGAGATTTCAGCAGATACAATGTAAGCTTGTCTGTCCAGGTTGATTAAATGTAGAACACATGATTCATCTACCTGAATCCTGTAACAGAAATAAGTTGGATTATTTTTGTTTTGTTGGGCCCCAACACAACATAATTATGTCATAGGGCGACTTTTCCAGCTTTCCTGGTGCAGTAAGACCTTAAGTGCTTATCCATGCTTTTTTTCAAACACAAACAGGCACCTGAGTAGAACCACTGACATACCGTAAGCTAGCTGGATTGCTTCCCCACAATGAAAGAATCCAAAGTCCTTGTCAAGATTCGAATCAACAGCGGTGAGGGGCAAGTGATTTGAAGCCTATTGGACATGGATGCCACATAAGTAACTAGTCATACATAATAAGTCATATATAATAAAGTAGTCAAGTTTTAGGAAAAAATCACCTGCTTCTCACTGTTGACAGTTATAACAGATTAAATTCTGACACTAATACTTTCACAACGTTAAAAGTTTTTTCCTGACGACAACAACAATGAGGCATTTGTCATAACAGTTTGGAAACAGACAAGCTTATAAAATTAATAAAAGATGCCATGAGGAACAGTGTATGACAGCACATTGAAGTGTACTCTGCCAAAGAAAAAACAAATATGAGCCGCGTCACGATAAAACCAACATAATGGGTTTGCGACCAGCATGGATCCAGACCAGCCGGTGCATCCGCACAGTCTGATCAGGATCAATGCTGTTCGCTATCAGTTTCTCTACTTGTTATAGGGTTTGTAAGCGAACAGCATGGATCCTGATCCGACTGCGCAGGCTGGTCTGGATCCATGCTGGTCGCAAACCCACTATGTTGAGTTTGTCGTGACCGTCTCATATATTTTTTGTTCCCATCTTCTCCACTGCCATTCTAGCACTCAAAGCTCTTATTAAATTTTTTGCAACTATTCATAAATATGCAGACATAATCATTACAGAAATTCTTATTATTTTTCTATCAGCTTACCATTTCACGTAACATTGTTTGTTCTGTGTGGAGTCCTGGGATTCGCACCTGGATATGTTATGTGCCACTCTAGGTAGACGCGGTGCCTCAGTCGTACTCCATCCAAACACATGTCCATAATCAGGCTCCTGAAAAAAAACAAAAAATTATCATCTAATGAAATTCAGTTTTGCATTTAAATATAACGATGCTAAATATCTTAAATTGACTTGTCTAGCTTTCACTTAAAATATGACAATTTTTCTTTTTTTAGGGGAATATTTCAAATAATTACCGACTGAATAGAAACAGTGTACATAGTCAATTAGAGCACAGAAGTACCGGCTGATCTTAGTCTGCACTGGTTGCTGGGTAGAATCAGTATCTGCCAGTGGGGTAAGGGTTAAAGACTTTCCAATTTGACCATTCATATATTGCTTATATTGGCATGATCTCTTTTAAATCTTTTTTATTCAGTCATGAACAAAGTTCAAATTTTACATGCAAATTGGCAAAACTTTGCCTTTGTCACTACATACAAAACCTAAACAAAATATAGAACTTGAAATATACAAAGTACATATATGTTTATTCTCAGATGATTAAATGTAACAAAACTTCTTGAATGTAGGATAAGATGCATTTTGAATGTTAAGTACATGTATAATGCCTTATATTACAGTTAAATATATGCACCTGGCAAGAGTAATATTGATATCAAGCCTGTATCAAATAGCATACACAAAACAATCAAACTAATGAGATTTAACAATAATACCATATAATTATAACAAGGCATTCTCTTCTATTATGTCCAAATCAACGAGCAAAACAGCATGCCAGAATAAAGAAGAACTATCAGTAAGTTGAAATCTTTATGATATTTAATTACAGGTGTATATTCCTACTGTTAATTGTTCCAATTAAAGGTGGATCATGACCCACCCCCTTTATATCTATATCAAATCATTAGTACACAATTATCAACTGTTTAACAAGTGTTTTATTTTTATATCTGTTGTGTGTGCTGTTCACATGCACAAGGTTTATGTACTTTTGTTTGAGAAAATCGCCAGATAAAATATGGGATAGAAGTACAATATTATGTAAGTATTGTTCTCTTTCAATTTAATATTCAATTTCATTAAAGCTTCTTCAAAAACTTTTAAATCTGCATTCCTCCAAATGAGCCAAATGTACTAGAAAAGTAAAGATTCAAGTAATAATTTACATGCTGTGTGTGATTAATGACTGATTTTGCAGTATTTATCACCATATTTTTACTGCTTGACTGAAATGCTGTACATGAATGGTTGTTTTTTTAACCCTTACCACATCAAATATCTTAAATGGACTTGTCCATCTTTCAATCTGGACAAAACCATTTATCATTTTAAGGAAGTTGCAGCATGGATGTGCCCCAACTTATCTTGGTTGGTACTGGTGGTATGGGCAGAACCTGTTGCTATCTGCAATCTAAGGGGTAAACTAATGACCTATGATTTAAATTATTCTGAAAAATTTGCCTTATAATTTGTGCCATTTTTTCATTATTTTATTTATTATATCTCATATGGGTTAAGCAATATACTGTAATATACTGTTTGAAAGTCAATAACTTAATGTTCCAAACTGTTATCACTACATGGGTATAAATAAATTATTGCATTCTTTCCCGTCAAACAGTAATTAACACAAAAATCTCAATTTCTATTGACAGTCAAATCAACCTACCTGTAATTATATAATTAAAACCTATTTTCAAATCATCTCAAACAATCGCTCTTTCTCACATTTGGATATATTTGTACAAGTTAAAAAAATTTCTGGTTTTATTTTCACTTTATTTCTTCATACTAGAATAATGTTACATACTCAACTTTTATATAGGAAGATTTTGAACAATGGAGAAAACACGCTCAATCTCAGGTCAGGATTTTTTGCTATTGTATTTATATTATATTACAATATATATAATTAACATTTTTTTTGTTATCTTATAATAAATATATCTAGAAGTATCAATTTTTTATTCAACTTAGTTTATACTAATTCATTTTAGTTTGATTGTGTTGGAAGCTATAAGCTTATTGAAACACCCTTAAAACTGACCCTGGAACCAACCAGTACTAAGAATTAATGAGTGTAAAGTTTCTAGATAACATAAAAAATGGCTTGCCCCCCGATAGGATTTGAACCCATGTGGCCAACGATCCTTAGATTACTAGTCCCATGCGATGACCACACTGCCATGCCGCCACTCAACTTATTTATGCTATTTCTAAGTTAAAGTGATTTAAATTAATTAGTTTCTAAGGAGTAGTCCTGACATGTTTGTGATGCACAGACTGACGGACAGACAAACAGATGAAAGAGAAGTGATCCCAATATGTCGCTGCTACTCAGAAGCAGGTAACACAAAAATCATTTAACACTTAAGCTGATAAATTTGTGTCTTGGATTGTCCTGTTTTTAAAAATAATTTTAAAAGAGACCATATAAAATAAGTTTTTCACTATCAAAAATTTTAATACAAAATTGGACCTGCAAACACAATATAGAGCCTGGTCAGATTGCAAAAATGACTGCAGGCTGGCCTGGCTTATAATTCGAGTGGCAAAGGCTAAACAATAGGTTATGGCATGATAATGACAATCCATTTATTAAACATATCTTTTTTTTAAAATTACCAAATATTGATAACCAGTTCAGTTTGTTTAAAAAACAGAATATAATATTTACAATATAAGATATTTCAGGTACATACATGTATTTGTATTTTACTCTTAAAAAAAAAAGAAAAGATACCCACTTTAGTTAAAAAGTATGATTTTTTTTTTCTTTCCCCACACAGCTTATTGCTATACTTGTAATTTAATGTAAGTAATAAAAATATTTACTCACAACGATTAAAAATTATTTACTTAAATGGCCAATAACCATTCAATATTTTCGTTACTCTTTTCCTCTACGAAAATGGTCAACTTTTTTCTATAAACGCTCTATATAAATGCTCGCAACTTTTTAAAAAGAAAGTCTAACACTTAAATACAAGACAGAATCAAATAAAAACGACTGTAAAAGATTTTACAAAAATGTGTGAATGGATGGAAAATTGTGTGTGATAAACTTTGCGGTGGGTAAATAAAACTATTTTTACAGTATTTGATGATCATACTAAGATTAGTGTCGATAATAAATATTTTCAATGCAGTTTAATTTTATCCTGTAAAAACGAGAATATCTGGTTAGCTTGTAAGCCTGTAATGCTACAATAACTTTACATGAATACGAGAACATTATAGTTTTTAAGGTAAGAAATTATCTTTATTATTTAATTGCATATTCTATCTAAATGAATAAATTATATAATAATGTTTTAATAATATATATTCTTTTTTTTGTCTAACAGAATCTCATCTCTTTATCAAAAATGTAAACTTTAACTGTAAATGATATTAAGGATAACTAATTTAAAATGATCCATAAATATAATTCAGGCTTTCTTACAGTAATTGATATTTAAAGGGACTCCACTAATGTATTTTTACATGACGGAACTGGAAATTATATTGAAATTAGGCTCCATTTGATGTAGGTCTGGATAAGTAACTTCTATGAAAAATTTCAACCAATAGCTCACTCTGTTTTTTTCAGAATAATTTTTCTAATTGTGAAAAATGCCCCGAAATTTATAATCATTGCAATCAGCTAAAAATAGCACAAGAATTTGATTTTTTATCTTTTTCTGAATATTTTAGGAGTACAGCAATATGATTTTATACGAAGACAAAAAAAGGAAAATTTAAACTTGTGCCAATAGTTCTCTTAAACTTTTAAAGAACATCATAAATGAAAATATTGATGAAATAAACAACAGCACACATGCTATGTTAATGCTCGTCTGCTATGGGCAAAGATATCAATAAACAATTTTCATAAATACTTTACAAGAGCGATCAGTAATCACATGTGTCGCCTCATGATGGCCAATTTCATGTTGGGACAAATTTTGTGACAGACAGACGGACAGTGCACAACTAGACTAACCACTTTGTACTGATCATTCCTGTAAAATTTTGGATAAAATTGCACCAGTAGTTTATGAGGAGTAGTCCGGACAAGCTTTTGCGTATCTGGCAACACACAGAAAAAAACACCTTCTTATCAAAGGGCCATAACTCAGCCAAAAATCATTCAACCGGAAAACCCCTGCAATATGCGCAAGGACTTGAGCTACAGATCAATCCTGTAAAGTTTCATTGAAATTGCATAAGTGGTATAAGAGAAGTAGTCTGGACAAACTTTAAAAATAAGAATTATTAAAGGGCCATAACTCAAACAAAAATCATTGAACCGGAAAATGCTGACAATTTGCACAACTAGACTTGGAACTGATCATTCCTGTAAAGTTTGGATGAAATTGCACCAGTAGTTTATGAGGGGTAGTCCGGACAAGTTTTGTGACGGACGGACGGACGGACAGACGGACGGACAGACAGACAGACGGACAGACAGACGACGGAGAAGTGATCCCTATATGTCGCCACTACTCCGTAGAGGCGACACAAAAAAGGGAAATTATTCCTAAAAATATTGCTGTCAGGATAATGTCCCTTGTCTTTACAACCAAGTTTGTCATGTTGATATCTTTCATAGTTTTGATATTCTACTAAATAAGCAATTTTGACAAAAGTTCTTTAATATTAAAGGAACATAACTCCAAAAATATTGTTTTCTGAATAATGCCACATGTGTTACAACTGGACCTTCTCATATGATAGAAGTTTTGTGTTGATATCTTTTAAAATATTTGAATAATGTGCTATATGATGATGATCATATTTTCTCTATATCTTTATTTGAAATAGACGAGAAAAAGTTGAGGGTGACCATTTGTTATCTGCCCTTAAATGTGAGTTTTCTGCTCTTTTAGCAGGGTGAGGCAACAGATGTGCCAAAAAAAGCTTCCAATTTGAACAAGGGCAAGGGGGATATTGTAGTCTACAGGCTGCAAATTCAACAATTTTAACAGCATTTCAACCTATGTCATATTGATAGCGATCACCAGTCTGTTAGTAATGAAAACCCTGCTTTTTAAGAAACACATTTAAATGTACATGTTCAGATAACAATGATCCCTACTAAC